AGACAGAGACGCTTGACACGTTCCATCTCCACCCTGATAGACGGTAGGGGCGTGCGAATCGGTGAGTAGGGCGAAAACTCGAGCTCCTGAAAAATGTAATGAGAATGGGCGTTTCATTACCAGATGCGCTGTTGCGGCAGTGAAACTAGAATCGTTCCTTGCTTCCCCTATCGAAATCCATCAGTTACTTCGAAATAACGACGTAATATTCACAAGCTGACAACAGGCAGTCAGTATGTAAAATCATTTTGTATTTGTACGTACGGTTATTCTGCAACAGTTTACGGAATTCAGCTTAAATATGCATATATAAACTTTCTGATCGAGCCTAAAAAGCTTTAATCAGAATGATCTCTTCCAAGTTGGCACAATATTTTCCTCAGAAATTAAACAAAGACGCAAGGAAGCCTGGGATACGAACTAATGAGCTGAACTCCCATGCGGCTGCGTCATACAGTGGCACAAGATCGGCGAAACACAGGTGTGTCGTTTTTTGGCTTGAACCTATGCTATCGGTATGGTAAATCATTTAGTATTTATAATCTTAATGCATACCTCGACTCAGAAAAAGACTTACTTTGCAATTCCAATAGAAAAAGTGACTTAGGATACTACAGACTCGCCTTGCGGATCAGGGATAAGAGAACAGCGACTACGCGCAAAGCCAGGAATCCCGTCGTCCATGGCTTGCTTGTACTCGTACTTGGTACGGCTGCCATCATGCCAGATCCAGCCGGCCTTGATGATGTCCCAAACTGTACCCCTGCACGCATGACAATCCGCGGCATCAGATCTGGCGGTAGATGCTGCGCAAGCCTACTATCACTATAAACTAATTCACGGGCAAGTCATCGTTCCTGCTCTCACCCTATTGTGAAGCATACGTTGCACATCGTCGGTCACGAAAGTTGAACCGTTGTGTGTGGGGAGAGAGCTAGAAAAGGTGTCCTATACGAATGCTGGGGAAACACTCTATCTGCTTGTATATCATGGCTCGTAGGTGCAAAACTTGCGAATCGGAAAACTACAACGAACAACCAGCCTAGTCCCTCTCTCCTCTGGCCCACACCACATCCTGTTTGAGTGTGTCCACTCATTCTGGAAGCTCGGAATGTTTGTCTGCTCTCAAACAATCCGAGGAGCAACCGACCGGAACGGAAGGCGGCGCTAGTGGTTGGGGAATTGGCGCGCTACAAGGTGGACATCGCTGCACTCAGTGAGAGCCGGTTCTCCGAACAAGGCAAACTGTAGATGGGTGCCGGCTACACCTTCTGCAGTGGCCACCCAAAGGCAGAGCGACGCCGCAGAGGTGGGACTTTATCATCCGCAACGACATCGTAGAACGTCAAGGACCACCCCATGAGCTTGCGCCTGCCTCTTCAGGAGGCCAAATTTGCCACCATCGTCAATGTCTACACTCCCCCCCCCCCCCTCAATGACCTGCTTCGACGAGGCGAAGAACGAATTCTAGAAGGACCAGCACGCCCTCTTGGGGACTATGCAAAGGTGGGCAAGTTGGTTTTCCATGGTGATTTCAACATCCGCGTCTGGGCAGAGTACGCTGCATGGAGTCCTGGGTGCACATGGAATCGGTGGCAGCAACGACAACGGCATCCTTCTTCTTCTGCGGATCTGCGTAGAACAGCGCCTCCTCCTGACCATAACCTTTTTCCACCTATCGATGCGGAAGAAGGTGACCTAGATGCACCCGCGATCGCTGCGCTGCCAACTACTGAACTATGTTCTCGACCGGGGGCGAGACCGACAGAGCATGGTGATCAAGGCCATTTGCGATGCCGACGGCTGGACGCATCACCACTTCATGATCTTCAAGATGAGGCTCAGACTGCAACTCCATAGAAGACCAAAAGTAAGCTGTTCTGTTTAATTTGCCTGCTCGTCGATAAAATTCCAGAAATCAAGTAGTCCAGCATCTAGGAACACTGCCGGCCCCGTACGACGACGCCACCGTGGGGACTCGGTGGTGTTCACTGTGAAATACTATCCTCTCCAGTGCCTTGGACGTCCTTGGACGCGCGCTTCGCCAAAATCGGGACCGGCTGGACGCCGACGCAGACGTCAGCAACCTGCTCGTCGAAAAGCACAGGCTGCACAAGGCTTACATGAACCACTGGACTGACGCGAACAAGGTGGCCTTCTCTTGCTATTGTCGCCTCACGCAGGACTGAAACCCGACGCGACCCCGACCGACGTCTAGTGG